TGATTCTGAACACGAACCAGCAAACCTTAGAGGGAACATTGCTCCCCGGGCGCCGAATTAGTTAGGGGCGCCAAAATGTGCTTTGATATTACTTTATGATGAAAATAATGGTTTTGAGAGTTTAAAAAAAATGGAGGCACTTTAAAATGAATCTTGTCCCCGGGCGCCAAACGCTCAAACTACGCCCCTGGTGTCGTAAGTTTCAGCGCGATCGGTTTTCAGGAAGTGGATCAATTAGCTGTACGAAGATTTGGCCATACCACCACCCAGCCGGCTAGTCACGAACAGTAGCAAAGTTCATTATCCGTAGAAAGGATTTAAAAACAGTCAGTAACACATTGAGAGCAAAAATAATTGAAATCTAGAGATGAATCCAAAAATACACCCCTGCACGCCTTTTGAAATACGCAACACTTCTGCCAAACTTTCTCAGATATTAAGAACATCACAGATTAACACATACCGGTAGGCCTAATATTGAAACTGGAAATTTTCATTGCACACTTCACTTATCTTTAAATGTATCAAATGCACAATAAGAATAGAGGAACACCATGTTCTTATATAAGGTAAACTATCAAAAGTTAAAAATAAACTTATACACGGTACTCCTAACAACGTCCCTCACTGGGGCGGAGGGAAGGGGTGGAGCCATTGTATGACTTTTGGAGGCCACTTGCCACTTTTTTATAAACCGGAATTCAAATTTGATAAGTTGATTGATTTTCCACGTCGAAAGTTTGTGACCCTTTAACTTTACTCTATGAGTGAGGGCCCCTGCATCGCAGTCTTCAGGGCCCACGTGGTACCTCGGGGCGTGGAGGGGAGGGGGTGCAGAGGCGCGAGCTTACGTTTGGAAACGGATAGATTTCTCTCCCTTAGTGGTTTGGATAATAATTATTTTTTAATTTTTTTATTTTTTAAATACTGTTTCAACGACAGATCATTCAGAGCACCTGTCACAGATCGTTCAGAGCATCTGTCACAGATCATTCAGAGCATCTGGCTAACTTTTAGACTTACATAGTTCGTAAAAACTTTAGCTCCGAGCAGTGGGGAAGTTAGTTTTTTAAAAAAGTATGCCCAAAAAGGTTGAAACAGACAGATATAAATCGTTCCTACCAAGATAAGATGTTTCGTTTTTGTTTTAAATGGACACAATAAATTATAACTTTTAAGACCTGAAGTCCTATTGTAAGGTATTGTTGAAATTAAGGGGCACAACCTTATTATAAATTATACTATACCATTTGAGATCAATTGGAATAGTAAGAGTGGCCTCCCCTGGTTTCTAAAAATCCTCCAAACAAAAATACCGGTAACGACTTTTTGTGTTTTAATTCCTTTCATTCTCTTTTTATTTTTTTATTCTTGATAATTTATATGAAACTCTTCTCAATGCACGAATGACATACAAGATTTAGCCAAGTGACGCCATACTTGCCACTGATTATAAAATGGTAACGGTGACACATAAATAGTTTTTTTGGTGTTTTTTTTTTATTTGTCGTGTGTTGTTTATTTTCATTTTGTTTCCAGATCAAAACAGAAATTCCTGTCAGTACAGGTCCTGTCAGTGTGACGTTCAGTTCGGGGAGTGTCTCCGTGGCACCTCTTATAACAGGAGTTACAGGAACTACAGAACACATCGGTGTGTCTAAGTGTGCCAACCACGGCAGCTCATCAGACGCATCCTCTTTTTGACAAAGTACAACATTTTTTTTTTTGGTTGACCCGCAGCGACTATCGACTATCAGTATCCAAGTTCTGGACATAGCACTAAAAAATTTTATATAAATCTAAATGTCAATAACATCAATTTCAAATTTTAAACCTTTGAGAAATGCAAATATTTTACTAAATAAACTTTCAAATTTAAAGCTCCATGATGTGAATCTGGCAAACAACTGATTCTTGTTAATGTAAATCTTCACGAAACAAATAACGTTTTGTGTTTTATTTGAATTTGTCTGTAAATCTAAAAAATGTGCAAAGTAAAAAAATGATCTTGGGGGATTGACCCTCCCTTCCTCACACACACTTCTTTTAACAGTGAGCTTGTCTTCAATTTTAATTTTTTTTAAAGCTTTTAAATTTTTTAAACTTTATTGTTACTGCATTGTAACGGAGTTCTCTCCCTCTATATCACATGACAGCTCCAGCTAGTGCTAGAAGCCATATTGAGATGGGTTTTTTTTATAAATATATATTTTTACGCTATCTTTCATTTGTTATTTTGTATTTGTATAGAATTTCCGATTATCTCCTTTAAGTATTCACTTCATACTTTTTCACAAGACCTGGGATTTTTGTTTTCGTAGAATAAGCCGGTAGCCTGGCCAGCAAACCCCCCTCTCTTCAGGCATCTGGTAAACCCAAAGGGAACATCAAATGTGTAAGATACAGCTTGGAACCAGTGGCCATATCTGGTGAACTCAAAGGGAACATCAAATGTAAAGATACAGCTTGGAACCAGTGGCCACATCTGGTGAACCCAAAAGGAACATCAAGTGTGAATGATACAGCTGGGAACCAGTGGCCACGTCCGGTGAACCAAAAGGGAACATCAATTTTTATTTTAAATAATACATATATTAAATTTTAATGAACAAATATCTAGGTATTCAAAAGTGAAAAGTTCTAAATTGATTTTAAGTAAATACCTGTATTGGTGTGATTATGAGAATATGTGGGCATACATTAATAACAGAACATTATTGACTGCAGAACACAACTGAATTTATTCAACTTCATTAGCAAGAGAATTGAACGAGGATATCAAACGTAGAGTTCATCCAACAACTGAAGGACCAATCCTTCTTTGGGATATGTAACAACTTACAATAAATATACAAATTGGCTCAGACTTCATAGCCATTAATTAGTATTAATAAGTAAAAAATGATATATTAGAGAGTATTTTTATTTCTTCCACACAAAAATTAATGGTGGAGCTGCCCATGCTGTGAATCATGTTAAATGTAATGTAAACAACAAAACAATTTTCTTAAAATTCATTGATTAAATGTGCATGGAACAAATGAAAACCAGGGCCACTGAATGGCAGCCTAAGTTACAACAGAAGAAAAGCATTTTTACACTCTAAGAATAAAAATCCTGGCAAACTAGAGGCTCCAACACCCCCCCCCCCTTCCCCAGCTCACTCACCTCTGTGATTAAACACACTAACCAAAGCAAAAAATAACAAGATTAATAATAAATGCTTCTTGCAGTTCTCAGTCTCTTCATCTTCTACAGGATGAGAAAAAAAAGCTGTGGACTTGCAGTATATTTGCTGGGTTTTTTTTTTTGCAAGCTGAGAAGCGGTAAAGGCTGACACAAAATCTGACAGTGTCCACACTCTAAATAGACAGGCTGTGGCTGCATCATTTGCAAACCCATCTACTTGGAAATAAAAGGGACAGCTTCTGCATTTATAAAACCTAGAAGTCATTAGAAAATAATGAAGTATTTGGAAGGAGGGTTAGGAACAAAGCTGCAGAAAAAGAAATGGAGAGTTTAGTTAGAGTCAGGGGGTCTGCAATAAATACCTGAAGGGGCTGATTTTTGATGTTGCGTACTAATACATTTTAAAAATATATCTTCCTATTTTTTATAAATTATGTATTATTCTATTTTGAATTTTTAATTTTTATTAATATTGTTAAATTATTTTTTTTTTTTTGAAAAAAATGTTTTTTTTTTTTTTTTTTGTTGTAAATTTAAAAAAAAAAAAAAAAATTTCCACTGGGAGGAAGATGCATATTTGTCCCTGAAAATTTATTTTCCAGAGTTTTGCATGAAGTTTTTGCTTATTAATATGCAAATTGATTTTTATGCTGAATATAATGAAGCTTATTTTCTTATATTATGCATGAGTTTTAAATTTCTTCAAATAAGTTTAATTTCTATTTATCTCAAAATAAATTTTAATGGGATACTTAATGTTTTTCTTAATTTTTCTCAAAATCTACCTCTTCAATTGTTTTAAAATTGTGTATACTTGTTTAAATATGGTTTAAGACCATAATGACAGAGCAGTTAAGGTTAAAATTGATCAGGGAAAAAAATATATTTATTCAAAGTGAAATTTTTTAAGAAAAAGTTGTGCGGCCAAACAAAAACTAAACAGCACCAAAGGGACATGAAAAACAAAAAGTTTGGCTATCTTTTTACCAAAAGTCTCAAAGTTATTATGTTTAGTAGGCTTATGGCTAATTAAATGCAAAATTTGAGACCGGTAGCTGCAGTGGCTTTTATATAAAATACTTTGAATGATTCCCAAAATTTTACAATCTCAACCCCCCATCATGCTCAGCTGGAGTGAAATTTTTTTTAATAATTAAATTTGTCCACCATATTTTGCTCATCTAAGTCCATATACATAATATAAAAACTTTATAAACATATTAAAATGTTAAACATTTAGAAATTGAAGGTAGTTAACCTTGATAGTTAAACATCTTGATTTCATGACAAATAATAAAAATAATGATAGAAACTTTAATGTAATTCCATCATACAACTTGTAGCATCAATCAGCTTTCAGTCTCCATATTTCTATAATATCAAGTCATCCACATGTTACATGGGTTGAGGATGCATTCATCACGTGGGGAGGACGTAGTGTTAATTTTTAATTTTATAATTTTTATATAAATAACCGTATTTCATGGGCATTGCCCCAAGTATGAAATTACACAAGGTTGATTTAATGTTTTGAAAGAAATGAAATAAGTTTTGATTTTGGAAAATGGGATGAAATTTTCGCCTTTAGTTTAAAAAAAAAATTTTGTTAACTGAAGTTAATTTATAATTAAAATGTAATGCACGGGGCACAGGGAAGAAATGCCATAGTGTTTTTTTTAATATGGAGAAGGATTAGCGGGCGGTGGGATGCCCTGGCAATATAATTGGATGACCACATGCAAACAATAAATTTGTGAAATTGACCATAAAATATGTATATCAAATCTGAATGTGATTCATCAATAAAGAAACTACATGAAGATATGGAGCCTGCCACTGGAGTTTCCCCCAACAAGTGTACAAATTTCACTGGGGTGGAATGCATTTAAACTGCACACCGATCCTAGGACATCTGTATTAGAGAGAGACTTTACAAGTGTACCATCTGCATTGAAAACCTCAATTTCTCTGGGACGATTCATCGATCCAGTTACAAAGATGTCCTCCACAGTGGGGTGCCACTGCGGCTGAAACTTTGTCAACCAGCGGCCCGTGTGATTGTTATGGCGGATACGTTTAGAGAGAACCAGCTTCATCCCTCTTTCAACAGAATACACGCATATTGCATCATCAGCAGCAGAGGAAAGGATTTTGTGTCCGGTGGGAGAAAAATAGGCACTTGAAATTGCTCTGGAATGATCTTCCAACTTCTGAACAGGTTTTGGCGATTTAGTGCGAAGTGAACGCATGTCCCACAAGTTAACGACGGGTTCAATCCCAGCCGCGATAAAATAGTGGGACTCGACAGGATGAACACTCACGGTGCGAAGGCTTTTCTTACTGACCCGATACACATGTTCTGCCGTCGAAGTTGGGGTCCTGATGTCAACCAAAGAAACATTGCCGCTGTATTGAGAAACAATCATTGTGTGGGGTGAGTCGAGAAAGTTAAAATTGCGGAGAAGGTCATCATCTTCTTCAGGGACCGAAAGCACTTCATCGAATATTCCCTTTTCGAAGTCTCCACAACGAAGGGTGGCATCGTAGCTACAAGTGAACAGTTTGTGAGGTGATGATGTGATAATTGACAAATCACTAACTACTTTTGTATGTGGCTTAAACACGGTTAGCGAGTTATCTCTTTCAGAATGAGCCAATACGTTCCACAGGCCGACATGACCATACTTATCTCCTGCGACTGCGATTAAAGATTCTGGAGAGGGATGCCAACCTAGAGAAAATAATCGACCAGGTAAAACTTTGGCTACCCTGTTTTCACTGATGCTTGCTTTTTCTATACTGCTTTTAAACAGTTTCATGTTAAATGAAGGCTTCCCTGTCGACGGCAGTTTAACTTTAAGACTACATATCAATGAAGAAACATCCTTTTTCATTTTGTCATCATCTGAGATATCTTTAGAAAATGTGCAATCTTTGAATGAGAGAGGTCCAACAGGAAGTCTTTTTTCAGAAACTGATTCTTCCACCGGCTCTGGTTCAGGAAGTGGAACACCGTTAGGATTGATACGTTGAAGCCGTAAGCTTTTGCGAATTGAAGTATTTTTCACTTCCCTTTCAAACTTCTTTTTAAAAATTGACGAAGTTTGAGAAACTAATTTTTTATTTGCGTGTGTCTGCAGCATTTCCTTTGCTGTCTTAATGCTAAGACTTTCTAAGAAAAGTTTATTTTCTCTCAAGTTTTGTTCTCGGATCTTTAAATAGTCAAAAACTTCCTCTTGGTCATTTTCGTGGTCCTTTATCTGGTCATTTCCTTGGTCCTTTATAATTTCTTTATCAAAAATTCCTTTTAATACTTTATTTGCATCCAATTCTGTCATTGGTTCTGCATCCCATGCAGTGTCATAATTTCTTTTAAGGCCCATGCGGCTTGATGTTAAGGTAACCTGCTTATCAGTTTTTGCTGTTATTTTACAATTTGTATCCTTAGCATTTTTTAGCTGAACTCTTGATGAACGCCTCATTTTTTTAAGGGATATCTTGCTTGTTGAGATTGAAAACTGTGGAGTTATTAGAATAAGAATTTTTAAAATAGTATAATTTAGAATTAATGGAAAATTAAGTGAATAGGGTGAGAAAATAGGAAGTGCAAGGAAGGGTGTTGGAGGATAGGGCGCGGCAAGGGTCGACGAACTTGGGTAAATTACCCCAAACTTAGAGGCAATGGGGGCTCAATAGACATAAATAAAATTATATTTTAAGTACATTCCTTTATAAGAAACAAATATTTCTGGCAACACTGCGTCTGACTAGTGTATTCTATGGATAAATTGATTAAAAAAAAGCAATAAAAAATAAATAGTAAATGAGTTTCTTCATTTCAAGTTGTGGGGGTAGCGGTGGGATAAAAAATATATTTTTGCGTAATGTAGCTTACCATAAGTCCTCAGATATAAAAGAGGACAATCAAAATAGTTATCAAATCCGGTTACCAACCAGTAGACAGCTCCTACGGTGTAGCCTACGCCAATGATTAGTACAAATAAAAGTTAAACAACATAAAATATTGTTCTAATCACAAATCGTTTCAATTATAAACTTGTATAAAGTGAGTGTTCAGTACACCTTACATTACTCTGACTAATATTTTCATACAAAATCAGAACCAGGTAAAATTGTTTTTAATAAGCGACAACCGCAGTCCATTAATTTATTGATTTGATGGTGGTTGACAATGTGATACGCCAATATGCCTTCAGCTGCTGAAACAGATTCATAGCGTTCCAAATCTGGTGTTTTGAAAAACTTTGGTAGATGACGTTTTTCCAAGAATAATCTTAACATCCTTCTGCGTTTCAATGCGCTCCTTTAAATCCGTATTGTATTATTGACAACCGAGATATAGCATACTTCCGCTACCGCATGTCAAACATGCAGATTCCCAGTCATATGGACCTGCACGAAAACCTGGCTGGGTATTGGGTATTTAGTTCGTCTGTACATAAACATGTTTGGGCATCTTTTAAATCAAATATTTATTATTTAACTTGAAAAATAAATTATATATCATTTATTCTGAATTCACGCTACCGTTATGTTTACAAAAATGGCTTCCGGAAACCAAAGTTTGGTGGTTACCTAAGTAACCCTTACTATTGTACTAAATTTTTCTGGCGTGCGCGTACAGTTCACAGAACAGAATTTTATATAAAATAACATGAAAATTAAGTAAGAAGGTATTGATTTGGGACGAACAGGGGAAAAACCCCGACAAAGGCTATATTTCAGGAAAGCCGCCCAGACAGGGGGCTAAAAAGAGGATATGTCTGAGGAAACCCGGACGCATTGTAACCCCAGTGTAATGCCCAGTAATAATGGCTAAAAAAATTTGACAACCCCTGGGGTAGAGGTTAAAGAAGTATGGTCTGGTGTAGAAAATAGTTTAGTAGAGATATTTTTATTAGGGCAGTTTGACTTTGAGTGGTAAAAGGCAAGTGATGAAGGGGTTGCAGAGGTGGAGGAGAGGTTAGGTTAGCGAGGTGTTTGTTAAAGCTTTTCTTACTGCTATCAATTTTTATTTGCCTATTATTTCGGTCTCTAAATCTCATTTTAAGATGTGCATGTCACAACTTGCGATAAATAAATGTTTAAATATTACTCCCGCACTGACAGTACTGTGATTGGTCTTAGAGTTGTACTCTGTATTCCTCAAACAGTAGCAAGCTTATCGATAGATTTAATAAATTCTAAATACATCACATTATTATTATCAAATAGGGTTGCCAGGACTGCTTCCAAAAAATAACGGACAAGCGAGGGGTGGGTTAAGTAGTAAAAAAAAATTACGTTGAATTCACAAATTCTTAACATTTGCTAAATTCACTGAAGCTATGTATTTGTGTTTTATACTGAGAACTTATTCAACTGATAGCTGTTTCTAAAGATTAACCTAATATTATTTACATGGTGATTTAATTAGAACACAGCAAATAGTATTTACATAAAAACAATGATTAACTTTTATGTTTATAATGCTTCAACGAAATCTTTGATTTGACATATTTGCGCTCTGCATATTGAGGTTAGTACTCATTGAACCTCAAATGATGATACGTTATTGAGTGTTCAAAAACATACCTATCCAACTACAAAAAAAGTATAATATAAAAATAATAGGTAAATGCGAGTTAAGACAAATAGTATGTAAATAATTTTATATCCTTTTATTAAATGTCTTGTGAAGCATTTGGGTATGATTGATAAATTTTTTGGATTATCGAGTTCATTGGATATTCGATCTTTGTCTCATTCTAACTTATGAAAAGAAAGACAAAATGCGATTCTCCTATCCTTATTCCTTTAGACTGAACAGCTTTAGATTATATGATTATGTATCATTTCATCAGATAAAGCTTTTGATTTAATTTAGTGAACAAAAATAGTGAACATAATGTAATGTAAAAAAGAGGACTATCCGCTCAAATAGTGAACACCTGGCAACCTTATATTATCAAAATTAGAAGACTAACAAAAAACATCCACATGATTAAATTTTATTGATTTAACTTTAACATATTAAATAATTAAATGATTTTCGATGTACTTATTAGTATCCTACTAATACTAATATAATTAATTACTATGACTTATGATATACCAAATGTAACTACCAACTAAGTTATGTAAATACTACAGTAAATCATTTAAATGTAAGTGTAAGCCTATGCCTACTACTACTAACAATACTAGCGACGACCACTGTGTATTTAAGCCCTTGGCCTTGCGCCAGGGCATAAATTCAATTTTAAATGATAAATAATTAATACTTTTACTTGGCCTATCTAAATCAACTACATTTAATAGAAGGTAAGACACTTTGTGACTTTGTTTACAATTAAGAATTAATTATTTTTTTTTAATAACCGTGACAGTGGTACATGTAGGCGTAGGCGTAGGCCGTAGGCCTACATGTAAATGAGTAAATGTAAGTCTGTAAGTGGTGGTATGGTCCGCCGAAGATAATGATCAGTGATGATAGTATGCGAACAATTATTAAAAATACCTAATACTTTTATGATGTTAGTAGTGTTAACATTTTGCTAAACTTTGTTTACTCACAATATTCTACGTGCTGTCTGTAACTGTTAGGTTTATGTAATCTCAAGTTTTTACTAATGGCGCCAAAGTTTAGTTTCATAATAACAGCTGATTCCGGTGCCATCCAACTTTGGGAAATATCCCCAGATCTCGGGCATTCAAGACCCTCCTGGGTACCTGGGGAATAATTTTGTAAAAAAAAAAAAAAAAAGAAAAAAATTGAAAAAAAAAAAAAAAAAAAAAAAAAATTTAAAAAAAAACGTTGAAAAATAGCAACGGCTTGGCATTGGGGCAGTTGCCGGCCTATGCCAGTTCAAAAGGGCGCCACTAAATCTCTATTTTTTAAATTTTTATTTAAACAAAAGGGCGCCAAAAATAAATTAGCCAAGGGCGTCAAAAACCAAGTTACGCTCCTGCTCACTACTAAAAATATTGCAGTTTAAATATGTGCCAAACAAAAGAAAAGTATGATTAAATAAACTTCCGTTTTTTTTTGTTGTTTTTTTTTCACTCAGTGCCATGTAAACCTTTTCCTTAATGTCCGCATACTGGCGTGTACTTATACTATAATATACTTGATACTTTCTTATGCTAGGTTCGTTGGGCAGCAGTAGCCTGTCATTAACTAAACTAAGTCTAATTGATGGCTGGGGGGGGGGTATTTAACCTTAAGAGGGGGGGGGCGGGGCGGATGGGCCTCACACCAGCCTCTTAGTAAACTTTGTATATAGGCTATCTTCCAATTTATTTATTTATTTATTTAAACGTAAGCATTTAATGCAATCTTTATCATCTTTGAACCACATTATATTTTTCAATCCTTAATATTTCGTGGCTGGCAAGATATTCGGACGGCTAATTGACCCACTTTCCGTCAACCTATCGAGACGAAACTGAGCACATGACACACCTAATTTTGCGAAGATAATATAGATATTGAAAATATATTGCCAATATTTGATACTTGGCAAGAACTATTTCAAAATATTACAATATAGGCGTGTTTGGCATTGGAAATGGAAAGTTAGTTTAGGGCCCATCCATTTATTATACGTAAACCAAAAAAAAAATAAACTCAACATTTCAATTAATTTCAAGCTAAAGAATTCGTTTTTAGCATTGCATATCAGACAGGGGTGGGGGGGCAGTAGAGATGTGGTTACGTCACAAAGGGGCAGGTGTCCGAAAAAAAAGTTTTAGAACCACTGATTTAGCATCATAAAATGCTTTATAAAATTAAAAAATTTAAAAAATTTAAAACGAAAGAAAAAGAAACGTGTCAAAGTTGTTTCCCTTATTAACAAATTTTTGGTAACCATGGATACATTGATGTAAACCTACCACACACACGTGACTTAATGCTGCACCTAGCACCGCGGCTCTAGTAACTTAAGGTGACCACACGTCCCGTAAAAAAAGTCCCCAAAAAGTCTCTCGGGACGTCGAAATGTCCCGTTTATAAATCAAAACACATTTTCAAATCACCAAAACTTCCTAATTTATAATATAACTTCAAATAATATTTTGGCTAGCTGTGTAGCCAGTGCCAGTAGTGATGTGGGCTCGCGTGATGGCTGCACTGTTCCCCACTCCACCACTCTGCCGACGCTGCGTAAACGACAGTGTCCCTGCCATAGATCTTATATGTATAATAAAT